GTATAGACTCTGTACTTTTCCTTATAGTCTTCTAGGAGTTAGATTAGATCCTTTAAGTCTGTTACTTTATAGATATTCTTAAGAAGATTCTTGCTAAAATAGCTAAATCTTCTATGCTAAAGCTCCTACTAATTTAGTAACTCTCTTATAGCAAATCCTATTTCCTTACTTTCTTCCTTTTCTTCTTTTACTAATAAAATAAGAGCCCTCTCCTAGAGGGACTCTAAAACTTCTAAAATAAATAGAATACTATTCTAGATTCTAGTCTAGATAATAGGAGTTCTATCCTATAATACTAGAGTAAACTAGGGTAGTTAAACACTATACTAATAGCTAAACTAATTCTAAGAAACAAGATTAACTCCTAAATTAAATATAAACAAAACTTTATTAAGTAAGATTTTCTTCCTATTCTAGCCTCCTATAACTGCTTTTCCCTTATATATAGCTTATAGCTATCTATCCCTAACCTTAATCTATTTCTTCCTTTAAAGTGGAATTATAGATCTAAAGAGTTATAGTTAGTTAGTTATATAGGATAAGGCATAGGAGTCTAGTAACTATTCTAAGGAGGTTAACTTGCCTTTTGCCTCTAAAGAAGAATGTGCAATCTTATTAGTTTCCTCCTTAAATTAGGATAAGGTAGCACTTAATAAGGTTAGGGATAATTCCCTAAATTAGGCTTATTTAGTAAGGAATGCTTTCTTAGTAGTTTTCCTTGTTTTCCTAAATTTAGAAACCTCTTTTCTAATTATTTCCTCTATTGCCTTCTTAAATTCTTTAAGAGAGTCTCTTCTTTTCTTAACCCTCTTTAATAAAGAGGAGGAGTATTTCTTACTAGAGATCTTTCTCTTTTTAGGCTTTAGAGAATCTCTATTTCTAGATAGGAAATTTTCCTAAGGTCTAATTGCTTTCTTTGCCTTTCCTAGCTATAAATAATCTTATATAAAGTGTTATCTATTATAGAGGAAGTATGTTCTTATCCTTCTAAAGGCTACTATTATAAAGTCCTCCCTATAATAGAGGTCCCTTACTTCCTAAGATTTAAGGATAAGTAGGATCTGTTTATAGTTCCTAGCAAGTATTAGCTAGGCTATAATTGCATTCTTAGTTAATTTAAACTTAGGAGGGAGTGCTAAAAGAAGGATCCTAATTTTCCTTTTAGGTTCTTTTATATATAACTCCCTTTTATTAACCTCTGTAATCCTCTTTGCTATTAAACTAATCTATACCTAGGCTAATCTTACTATGTCTTCCTCTCCTATTCTAAAGTTTATAAGTTATTATACTATTAATATAGTATATACTATAAGTACCTTACTATACTTCTTTTAGAGGAAGAGCTATATTTTAGTAGCTATCTTTGTATCTATTAATAATTAAATTTTATCTGCTTTATCTAAGCTAACTCTTAATCTTAGCTTATACCTGCACTTAGCATTCTCCTTTTAAAAGTTTAGCTAGCTAGCTATTCTTATAACCCTAGCATCTAGATTAAGGAGTAATAAATTGTCTAGGTTAATTAATCCCTTAATATTATAGAAGATGCCTTTTCCTTCTAGGTTGTCCCTCTATAGTTTAAACTATCTTTTCTAGTTCTCTCTTATTAGGATTAGAATCCTAATATAGGTCTAACTGTCCTTCTCTTCCTTTATTTTAGTATATAAATAGCTTAGTCCTGCTAAGGCTTTAGTAGTAAAGTAAAGGGTATATATGTGTTTTAAGGCTTTGGATTTAGAGTCCTCTACTCCTTATAGCTATTAGATAATCCCTTAGTCCTAATAGTTAAATGTTCTAAACCCTTAGGAACTAATCTGTCTTCTATGTTTTCTTCTTATTTAACCTACTATTAAAACTCCTAGTAGTATAAGATAGGGTACTAGAAACTAGTGTCCTTTCTATGTTAGCTTTATAAGGTAGGAGAAACCTTTACTACTTTAAGGTTAAGGTCTTTTTCCTTCGGCAAACCCGGGCTTATAACCTTTTAAATATTGTTCGGAGGTTCGCAGATTTTAGGGGTGGAGTAAAAGAGTATCTTAATCTTTAACTAGCTTACTATCTCCGATAGGAAGTATTTAAAAGTAGGAACTAATATGTTAATTAAGYTAATTATCTAGAGATGTGTCTCTATCTCCTAAGAAGAGATTTTACCCTACATAGAGTTATATAACCTTGTAGCTACTTAGCTCTCTATTATGTCAGATGTACAGCTATTCTATAACTGCACTTTCTAACATAGTCTAAAAAACATAGATAGAAAAACGGCAAGCACTTACTCGGTTAGCCGCTAGCTATATAGCAAACACGTAATATTCCCCTCGATTTTAGTGTAGCTAGTATATAGGTAGTGCTATTTAGTCCGCTTAGGTACCGCTATCGAGATTAGAGGCTTAAGCATGTCCTCGAGTTTAGATCCTCCCTCCGCCGGATAATAGAATAACCGTATAACATTAGCTCGTATAATATTATATAGAGCGTAGGCCCGGAAGGCTCGACTAGGTAATAGGCGTTACGACTAGGGCTCTAGAATTATATTAGTAGTATTAGTAACTAGTACTTCTTATAACGGGAGACATTATCTAGCTTCTAAATATATCTTTCTCTCCTCTAGGTACTAGGTACGATGCCGCCGGCCCTTAGATATGTCCGTAAAACGCGAGCCGAGGGGACGTAGGGCCTATAAATCTAATCGCTTAGATATAGAAGTTAAGAATTCTATCGTGTCTTAGTCCGGTAAACGGTTATATATTATCGCTTAGGTATCGATACTAGATATAGAAGATAGGTAGTATTAGAAGGTATTATCGCTCGTATAACCTATACGTTGTCTACGAATAGCGGAGGTAATAGTTTCTATAGGCCTATTAGCCCGCTCTTAATGTTAGAGTAACTTTTTCGGACTTACTATTTAGTATATTACTATAACCCCGGCGTAGAGTATACGGAGTAAAACGATCTTCGTAACCCGCCCGCTCTTCTAGGWATAAGGGCCGTATAAGAGCCCTTATAATAATAGGATTAATAGAGGTAGCTAGATTAACTAACCTTAGAGAAGGGAGTATAATATAAYCTAACTGCTTAGCGTAGGCTTAGCGTATATATAACTCCTACGTATAGCGCATATTTAACCTATAAGAATTAGTCTTATCTCTAATCGAGTTATTACGGGTGTCTAATACATTGCTACATCTTTACCCTTATACTAGGTCTGTTATTAGTTTACTTACGTAGTAGGCAAGTGTAATTCTTATAGGCGATATTACTCCGTTACGCTATAGCCTACGGAGGAGGGGAATCTCTACTATTTCCGGTCGGATACCGATTACGAAATTAGTGTTAATAGGCGGATTAATTCGTATAAAATTAGCTAAGTTACGAATCCCTCGGAAAGTATTATCGGTAATTACGAGTACTAACGTCTAGATAATAGGGTATAGATAAGGTACCTTCTTGTCTTCTAGAATAGGCAGCTCTAAACTATTTATAATTAGAATAAGTCGTGTACGTATTAGATAACCGTGTCTTACTCGTATTTCTCTTACTCTCGGCGGAATTTCTAATTTCTAATCTTAAACAAAATCGCTACGCGACGCTCGCCGTTTTAATTTATAACGTAAAACGTTAGATCTTTATATAATATGCCTTCGTTAGAGCCGACGTAAGTAGAGCTCTCGAGAAGCTCGCCTAGCCGGATTCTAAGGTAGAACAAGATTAACATTAACACTAATAGCTAAAGCCTAATACGCGGATACTTAAGCTCCTTCTCGTCTAAAGCCTAGAGGAAATAAAGTATGTCGAATACTATAGCTAGGCCTACGACCGGGCGATTACGGACCTTTTACGAGGCGCCTTTTTAGACAAGGCGGATTTAAATTGCTTTGTTAATATTCTTAATAGTCTTTACTAATACTCTAAAGTTACTACGTTCGCGAACGAGGCGAACGAGTAAGCTAAACTATTTCTTAAGAGTAACTATACTAAGCTTAGGTCCGATTATGCTAACTTTAGTCGTAAGTAGCTACTAGAGAAATGCCGTAAATTCGCCTTCGCTTAGTGTATTCGGGAACGGTCTTTTAACGTCTATCTCGCGCCCGAGGACTTTATAGAAGTCTATTTAGTTACGTAATATCCTAGCTATAGCGTTTTAGTAGTACTACTTAGAGGTATCTCGCGTTGTTAGTTAGAAGTTACTAGATGCATTAGCTAATACTCGAATTTCTTTAAGGGTATCGTCTATAGTAGTAGTAGGCTCTCTAGTAGGATAATGCGGGTTAAACTAGTAATAGTTAGTTTAATAAGAAGACACGAATAGGCGGTATGTAGTAAGAGGAGACAATATAGTTAAAAGATTCGAAAGCTAAGTACTAGCGTCTATACGCCTACTACTACTACGTACGCCGCGCCTACGTACCGGTATTACTAGCGCTTAGTAATTAGATTTAACGAGCTTAGTGAACTTAGGAGTAAGGGCTCTATTATAGCTATATAGCGATGCATAAAGCGTAGCGTATCGGGCAACCGCTAGAGTGAAGTCGGAAAGCAGAATTTGTTATTAGCACGTCGGACTTCGGACATCCTAGAGTCCGCTATACGGCACCATCAGCTACAGTGGCGTCGACTCACGTGTTCAGGAAGCATATTATCATTCACTTGCAATCAATTTTCTCGGGAACCACGGAGTAGAAAGCAAGCCATCCCGTCCGCTCTGGCCTATTGAACCATGTAATCGTTTGATCAGTACTCAGGTGGGTGACCACTGGGGAATCCCAAATGTTGAATGTCCTTATCTTTTGTTTTTGGTGATCAAAAAGGGACATGATTTTTGCTCCTGTTTGCGACATTTGCTTCGATTTTCAACCTAAGCTTACGAAATGTATGTGTATAAAGCGAAGAGATGGAATACTTCAAATCTGGAAATGAAAGGACTGAGAGAAATCAGGTAGAGGGAAAATGCTTGGATAGTCTTCGCCGAAGAAACTGTTTTCGGATATCATCTCCTATCATTCTATTCGATCATCCGCAATCAAATCCACTCGCGCTCTCTCGTCACCCGACCAAATTTTCCCCGCTGAATTTTGCGCTGCAACACAACTCCGTACATCTGTAATCATACTCGGTGGACCAGATGCATAGACGACCGTAGGGCCACGAACGGTGTCTTGAACAAAAGATTGAACCAGTGAAGGAACCGACGGACGAGAATTGAGAGCAGATTCCGTAAAACGCTTTTGCTGGCCACGCTTTCGTATACTCGAGCTTGTCCCTGATGAAGAGTCGTCGGAGCAAGGAGTAGTCTGGATTCCCTCGTCCGTGAGCTTCTCGATCGATGGTTGCTGCTGGATTTCGTCGTCGCTTCCAWCCTCCCTTGTGACAAAGATGCGGATCACCAACCCCATACGTTTGCTAGCGGCGCGTAAGGTGTCAAGTTCCGAGCGGACCCATGCGGTGTCGTCGTGCTGTCTCACGGCCCAGATAAGCTCGATCTTTCGGTCTGAAGAGCTGCGAGGAGTGGGTGCTGCCATTAAGTGGTAAAGCACAGGTAGAACGAATGTGATTCCAGTTCCGCCTGCAATGAGCAGCACATTGAGACCAGGTGATCTGTCAAATTCCTCAACATGATTCGTACCATAAGGTCCAGTTAGAATGACCTTGACTGTGGGAGTCATGGCATCAGCTGTGAGCGGCTGTCTTGATGACGACTCGCCGAGCTTCTCTGTCGAAGATGGAGTTGTAGACATCGCCGCGGAGATCTTGTTCAACGCGATCTGTGCAATCTTCTTCGTTTCACCACCTTTCGCCCTGAAGACGTACGAATGCTGCTGGCCACCTTTTGTCAAGCCTGGCAAACTCAACGGCGTGAATGGATGTGACTGCCACATTGAGGATTCAGGAAAGCAGAGGTAAAAGTGCTGGCCAACTTGCCATGGAGCATGATTGTGCAGGAAATCCATCCGCACAACATCGCCATTGATAGGGTCGGGGAAATGCGTGAGTTTCGCATTGGCGGCCTGGAAGTGCATGGCAGATGTGCTCTCGGGGAGAAAGTCGTAGTGCATCAAAAAGGTACGTGCAAGTCGGAAGAACCGATCGGTAAACCATACGAGTAGAGCAGCGATCATGAAGACGCCTAGGTTCTTCCAGTGACCATAGCAAGCGCCGATGAAGAGCATTGCCATGACATAATGTACTTTGCGGAACGTCTCGTAGCCCATCCATCGGATGACAGGGGGGAGGGAGAAGACCACCATGAGGGTGATCAGAGCCATGGCGACGACACCCCAGATGGCGTATGTCTGTGCAATCCAGTGATTCCATACCTTGGGTTGTGGCTGGCTAGAAAGGGGGTCAGCGACATCGAGGACAGTCCGGATGTGACCACAACACGCTGGGTAGCTTGGCGCACGCTCTCTGTCCTTTGAATTACTTACTATAGCTTGGCCTCGACGAGAGTCCATCCAAGAGTATGTAGCGCGGATTGAAGATAGATGATATATCCCATCCAACGATGGATGAACATGAAATTCTGATAAGGGATCCCCGTGACCAAAGACAGCAACGACTCGCGAGTGGCCAACATGACGGAGAATGGGATGATAGCATATGCCATGACACCAATACGATCAGACCATGGCCCGATCGAAGTGCGAGTGTTGTAAACCCCGGGCGAAGCCTTCACTGGAGTCACCCATTTCTCGTATCGAAACCCAACGAAAGTAAAGATGGTCAGGTAGCCGATGAGGAATGCCAGAATGGTGACTTGCAAGCGTGTGGTGCGGCCAAAGATTGATCGCAGAGGAGCTTCCGGGAGGAGGTACCGACGAACCATTGCTGAGGTTGAAGTAGCGGCTCGGTGGAAGAATGATTGCCGTTGTGGGAGTTCCTCACTGTGGTGGCTTCCGGGTGAGAATGCTCGTCTTGCTGGGACTAAACGTCTACCAATCCCGTAGGCGAGTAAAAGTCCCCCGAAGACAATCCACATGATGCCAACGAAGAGCATACCTTGCTCGTGGGCATTGTATACAACCTCTAGATAATCGCCTGGAAATTTTGTCAATACCCACCACTACGCTTCGAGCCATCGATTACACTCACAGCTCCCCGCATCGTTCACGCACGGCACGACTCGATCTGCGTATCCCCAATATGCCTTCAAATTTGTTGCTTGGGCGTGATCCTGGATATGCTGCCTCTTGACGAAGGAAGGGCTTTTTTCGATTGGAGAAGCCATTCTCACGAGATTGTCGAATCGCACAAAACAACTCAGTATCGATGGGTGATAAAGCAGTCTCGCCGAAGGGCCAGATAGCTCGAACAGTGATGAGGGTATATACAGCGGGTTTCCTCCGCCCATGTGCTGCCTTGGCGTGAGCAAGTATACCGTATACGGCTTCGCGGGAGTCTTGGCATGAGCAAGTTTATTCTTTATCGGCTCCGCCATTGGTCTGGCCACGGACCACCTTCCTATTCGAAACGCCCGTGGCTGGCGTGAGAAAGGCACGTTTTCGCCGACGGGAGAGTTCCCATTCTTCCCTGCAGTGCGTGGCCCTCGCATGGCGATGACCTATATGAGCAAGTTTCCACCTCGCGAGCTTGGCCCCTCTCAACGGGTAGAAGAACGTTTCCATGTGTCTATCCTGGAGAACGGGACACAGATTGGACTTTGAACGCTCATCCTGACATACACAGAAAATCGACGACCCGGGGTTTATTGCATCCTCATCGTAGCAAACCTGAAATGGATCACGGCGGCCACAATGGCGGCAATGTGGAGTGCAAAGTCTCAATGCTTTGGAATTGGTACACGATGGATGCCTGTGAGTTCCAGTACTATCAGCACCCCCTCACATTTCCATGATATTGACCGTCCCAGGCTTCCTAACAGAACAATGGCATATCCGAACAACGGGCATGTTCGCCGCCTCTTGCATCGGCGTGACATTTCTCGTGGTCCTCCTCGAAGGTCTCCGACGGATAGGCAAAGACTACGACGCGCATATGGTGTCGGCATTTCGTCAGCAAGCCGCTCGACTGCAAAACCAGTACATCCAGCTTCCAGCGTCCGGACCTCAGGATTGTTGCGGTCCCCTCGCAGATGCTCCACCGATATATCCCGCGCAGATGTACCTCACCTTTCGTCCCTCGCCCGTGCAACAGTTCATCCGGGCGATGATTCACATGGCTACGTTCGGGGTGGCTTATGTTATCATGCTTCTTGCCATGTACTTTAATGGTTATATCATCATCTCGATCTTCCTTGGAGCGGGTTTGGGAAAGTTCCTCTGTAAGTTGGAAGTCAGCAGGGGAGGCTTGAAGCATATCCCAAATCCTCTATGCAGCTTTCCGTTACTTGAGRCACTTACTTACCTTCGCTTTAGGTGATTGGACTTCGTTCCGCATTCCAATCGCAGGCGTTGGAGGAAACGACGGGATCGAAAAGACCAATGAGAATTTGACATTCTGTTGTGATTGAATCAGATGCAAGGCGTGGCCGGAGAGCTGTTTCTCAATACCCTCCCCTGGCGAGAGGAAGGACGGAACCGATTCAAGGGGGCTCTTTTACCGTGTTGGCAAGTCGACGTATGAGCGATTCGAACTCAACAGTCCCACTGTATAGCTATCATTCCCAATGCAGACTCCATTCCAGCTCTCTTTGCCGAGTTTCTTCACAAGCGCCGCGTTGCCGGCTTCATCCCTCTCGCAGAAAAGGCTGGAAGGGCAGCGCGTCGTCTGTGGGTTGGTGTCGAGCTACCTTGAATGGGGAGTCGTGTAGCTGGTAGATACCCATCAAAAATATCACCATGTAAGTCCTCGGTCTATGTGACTTCCGGATGCCTCAAAGGCGAAGAACTGAATGTAGTAAACTACATGTTAGCAGTTCGGGAAAGTGTCTCCAGATGGTCCGGACTTGGCTCCGGCTGCTCTGCCATGGGTTCTCCTCTTCTTCAGGGAGGAGCTCTGATAAAGTAATCTTAAATCGCATCTCTATCCCTGCCATGACATCCACGATGATCCTTTCCGATTCTCTGCTTTGGATGTCCTAGGGATTTGAGCCAGGATAGGATAGGCGTGTATATAGTCTTGGACAAATGTCCCCCATGTACTCCGTAGCTAAGCCTGCTGATGCAGCCTTTCCAATCCGGTATCTGCGTTGACCTCTGCCTGTTATTGAATTCCCAAAGATGACGTTCCTCCGCGAGTCCCCTCGATCTGCATCTCGAGTCCACCACGCATTCGTCTCAAAAGTGGAAGATGCAATCGCCGCCGCCATTGAGGAGCGTGCCCAGGAATTCGACGCCCGGAAGAATGAGAGGGTATCCATGACTCTACGAAGAACGTCCAAGGGGGGAAGCACTGAGCTGTGTTTGATCAAAGCCATGTGTATCGTGGATCAGCCGCCGGTGGAAACATTCGCAACTCCAGATGCCACCTTCTTCCACGAAGAAACTACGCACGATAGTCCCGGCATCGTTGTCGAAGTCAAGAGCCGATGGTGGCCGAAAAATCTCGCATCTCTGGCGGAAGCGTATACAATCGGCAGCATGGGGAGAATTAATTGTGTGATTGGATTTGATATCAGTACTGGCCAAGGCAAACTGGCGACAGTGAGCATATGGCGGCCCGACCTGGACGAGACGGGTACGCTCACTTGCTCTAACAATGCCGATGCCGTTATGTTTCGAGACGCCACAGGAGACGACCAAATCGGCGGGTCATTGGAAATCCTTCTAGAGGATTTGCTCGTGGATGATGCTCGAGACCGAATAGATCCTTGTGATATCAGGAAGCCGATATCTCTTGACTTTCATTTTCTTGCGAAACTTCTGGATGAGTCAGAGGGCAAGCCAGTAGATGCGAGATCCCAAAAGCAAAAGGACATGTATCCCGGAGAGTACGACAAGCGCAAACATTGGAAATATCTGAGTGATATATGGAGGCGAGCAAAATGATGAAAACCGGAGTCATGAGCTGAGAAGGTGGGTACCAACTTATGCGAAGGGACAAAAACAAGGTTAGTGTGAACAACAAGAGTCTGCTACGAAGGCGAGAGCAAAGCCAGCAGACCATTCCAAGGCAGCCGGACGACGCACCATCTAAGTGAGTCTCACCCAGTGATCATCGTCACATCTGATCCCAAGAGTGGGTGCGGCTGAATGCTGGTGTATTGGAAACGACGGCTGCGATGAGCGAATCCACGCTGCAGCATGATAAAAGAAGACGGCTAGACTGTCAACAGCTCCGGAAGATGCAGAAAAGTCTCTCTATCAAAATCTAATGTATCAGGGCATCACCCATCCCAAGCAGCACTGAACCTTGCCAGGACTCAAGATACCATTTCAGTCCTTTGCCGCTGCGTTTTGGATCATGATGGCAGCAAGCTCCTTGAAACCCTGCGAGTTCGATTCTGTATCATTCACACGAGGAAATGGCACATCTGGAACCTCCTTTCCAAGAAAATCACACAACGGTTTCCATCCATCCCCGAGACGATATTCCAAGATCCTACCCTCCTCCGCAAGAGATCTGACAAGCGCATAATGCTTCCTATACACCTCTTTAGACCTCGCCTTGGCCTCTTCCAGATCCAGGGTATCGCCACATTGAATTTTGACGCATGCGTTTCCCAGTCCAACAATCCTCCCTCCCATCTCCGGATCCGATTCCGCGAGCGTCGGCAGACCTGGACTCAACGCATTGTCCAAGAATCCACACCACGACTTGAACCAAGAGTCAATATCCCTCTCCACAAGCACAACTTTGGCATCAGGGTAAAATTCCATCAATTCTTCGGCGAAGAGATGACAAGGTATATCCGTCACAGCACCACAATGCCCCAGCAATCCATCGAAATCCTCCTTGGTCACAGGCGGTCCTTTGCCCTCAAACTTGGAGGCGATCAGGTCTCGCCACATGTCGCATTCTCGGACATTATCGTAGAAGCTACTGAAATGGTACGGATTCGGGTAGCCCAGAATATCCAATGCTTCACGCATCGATAACGTTCCCGTGCGGGAAAATCCCAACGATAGAACTTCCATGGGCGTGACTCTGGTGCTTTGGCGACGATCAATGTTTTGGTTGGGATTGTACATTCGGGCATAATTGCCTATGCGGGCGAAATCTGCGGGAGTCGCCATTGTTGATAGAGAGAGAGATGATGGAGAAGTTGAGGAGAGAAAGGTGAGGTTTTTGAATGAGGTGGAAACCACCGGCAGGAGCTGTCGTCAGTCGAAGGATGTATACGGTGGTCTGTTAGCGACTTCCCTGCAACAACGCGATCTAATATAGCTTAACGCCACCAAGTAGAGTAATTTCACACCTCGCTTATTGATTCAATTGCCCGTACAATTACATGTAATAAACGTCGTTATTTGCTTGTGTATGTGTAATATTACCGTCCCGTTATTACTTAGTTACCGGTCCTAAYATGTAACGGGTTTCGGTTACCTATATCTTACTTTAATGCTACTATTGTGCATATGCTTCTGCTAGTAACTTATTGTACGCGTAAGAGTGATATTTATGTGCTATAAGACTCTTCCCTCTACCCTTCTACCGTCTCCCCTAGTCCTCCTAATAACTACTATATTTAACACTCTAATTAGTACTCTTACTACCTATCCTCCCCTCTTTGCTCTATTCTACCTTTCCGTATAATAACCGAGAAGGAAGTTCGCCGCTTCGGTATAGGCGACGTCGACCTATAGGATATATACTACTCGTCGGACGATAATAGTAATCTATGCCTTGTAGTTAACGACGATAATATAAGTAAAGATAATCGCCTTACCTAGACGAGACTAACTAGTATAATCTAGCTTAAGACTAGTGGCCTCTATATTACTAAGGAACAGGCGGAGATAATCGATGCGGCGGGTAGCTACGCCCCGAAAATTAAGAAGACCTAGGACCCGGCGAAGTAGAATATGCTTAGAGACCGTAAGAACACTATAGACTCGATAATCATCTAGAGCCGGTTAGTATAACTACTTCTAATTAAGATCCGAGCATCCTTGCTAACAGATTCGTAGCGGTAATATTGTTAACTAGGAATGTACCGCCTGCTAAGGCCGGCCGATCCTAAATAAGAACGAGCGAAAAGAGGGTAGAGGCCCTTAGAAGGTACTCTTTCTCCGCCTTCCTCCTATATAAAGATGTTTAAAGCTAACAATAGTAGGAATGTGTAAAATAGGAGCATATAATAGAGGGTGCCTATAGAAATTGCATCTAGAATAGTAAGAAGAACTTATGCTCCGTAAACACCTTAAACGACCGCATCCTTAAGCATAAATAGAGCGAGAATGCTAGTAATAACCCTAATATAGTAGGCAATGCGGCAGATCCTTAGTACAAGGGCATAAGATTCCCCCGTAAGGCAAGTACGAAGAAGGCGAGCCGTAGTAAGGGAAAAGGCAAATAGTAGAGGCTGTCTCCTCCTCTAGGCAGTATAATAGTACTAAAGTGGTTTTAGAGGTGGGTGTGGAGCTAGCTCTAGAGCTTATTATTTCTTTCTCTCTCCCCTTTTCCTTTTATAAGATATTCTATTTCCTTTATAGAACTGAATTAATAATCGGAGTATATACCCTTTCTCTAGTACTATTATACGGCTACTATTTATAGAGAGAAGGGTTTTATCTTAGTAGAATGTAGGTGTCCCTTTTTCTATACTTTGTATTTACTTTRCTTATTTTCGAAAATAAGACTATATCGCTATTCCGCCTCTCGTATTCCTCGAGTATGCTATTATTCCCTTTTACTATTATACGTATACTCCGTAAGGAGAAAGCACAAGATATTTGTAAAATGGCTAAGTCCCCGTTTCATTTACTTTATATATTCTCTCCTAAGTAATAACACCTGCCGGGGAGCGAGTACGTGTATTACGTATTACTTACTTCCGACCGGTATAAGTAGYATTAGGTGCTATTATGCATATGCTAGACAGAGCTTTATAGTAGTAACTACAAAACAGCACTCTCTTTTAAATTCCTTTTCCTTATACCTTTACTAACATTCTACGGCATTAAACATAGTAATTAACATCCTTTTACTACATTAACACCTCTTCCCTCCTCTGCCCCTCCCCGTATAAAGCGCGACTACTACGATAGCGACTACAGAGTTCCGGCTATAGTTGCTTAACCTTAGTGTCGATAAAGTAGGAAGGCGTAGAGTCGACTACTATAGAACTAAAGTAAGAGTTAAAACGCTAGACAATATCTTTAGGACATTTAGACTAACTAGTATAAAATAGCTCCGAGATGCTAGCCTTCTCTTTACCCCACTCCTCTAAGACGAGATAGACGATAAGGCTAGCTACCGGTTTTCGACAAGGGATCCTACGTAGGACCTAGCTAAGCGTATTAAGTATCGTTAGTTACACACAACCTCTCTGCTTATCTAGAGCCGGTTAGTACAATTATTTCTAGTTAAGGTCTAAGCATCCTTACTAACAGATTCGTAGCGGTAGCGTTGTAGGTGCTAGCGCACACCCTACTACTAGCGGGCTATATACCCGGTACCTAGCGGGCAAGGGCCCGTTCTAGGTACGAGACCTCTATTATTCTCCCGTACAAAGATGCTATATACTAATAGAGGCAGCACTGTATAATCTAGCGTAATTACTTCTACAATTGTTGCGGAAATTGCAAGTTTTAAGATTAGGCGACCGAATGTAGTTATAACATCTAGAACGAGCATTTAGACTCGTCGATAGAGGAGGAGGT